GAAAAACACTTATTAATATAACTTCTTAAACAAGAAAAATATTAACAATTTTGACAAATATCAATATGCAACAATGACGCAAAAGTTATATCATCAAATGTATTGCGCGGTCTTACCTACGTACAATCAATGTTTTTGAACCCGGCCCGGTGGCTGGCCCGTTTTGACCATTGGGTCCGGGTCAACCGGTTGAACCGGTTCACTTGACCAGTTCAACCGGTTAACGAAAAATTTTTTTTTTTGACATTTTTATTGAATTTTATTGTTGTAGGTTAGTTTTACCCTATTTTGAGTGAATGACGAGGAAGTTTCTGATTTTTGTTGCTGCTTCTGTTCGGTGGAGCAGAGAGAAGAAGGGCACCGACAGAGGAGATGAGGAAGAGAAGGAGGGCAGCGATGGAGGAGATGGTATGTTCTGCAACAGTGTGACTTTTGTTTTGCTTTGCTGTTTCAGTCCAGTGAGGAAGGAGGAGGTGATCGGCAGTCAACAGAGGAGATGAGGAGGAGGTGCTTAGCAGAGGAGAGAAACCACTTTCCCGAAGACGATCTATTCTGTTTTGAGCCAATCAGATGAGGTAGATGGTGAAGATCGGCGGAACAGAAGAAGTGCAGTGACAGAGGAGAAGATCGGCGGACGATCGGTGGAAGAGAAATTGGCGGACGATCGACGAAGAGAAGATCGGCGAAGTGGCGGACGATCAGCGGAAGACCCTTCTGTAGTTCTGTTGGTACTTGGTTCCTCTTGAATCTGGGTTTTCTACTCTGCTCACCGGACCTTCGAACCCAGAACCCATGACTCGAGTGTTTGAAGACAAACACTCAGCCAGTAGGACTGGGAAGAGGCCGGTCCTGAATCTGGGTTTTGCAATTTGTTTCCAGACTTTCCAGTTTCCACTGTCCCGAGCTGCTTGTGATTTTAGATTCTTAGGGTTTTTAGTTTTTACTTAGTTAATTAGTTTAATTGATTTTTAATTTAGGTTTTAAACTTTAATTTAAGTCAAAAGACAAAAACTTAAAATTAAAAAGATGGTGAAAAACTGAAAATTTCAGCCCGGCCGAGCATGGCGGGTCGCACGGGTTCAGTGGGCACGACTGGCTTGCCGGGTGTCAACGGATTTCAACGGGTCATTCACCTAAACGGGCTAAGGCCTTCAACCGGCCCGTTTTCAGGCCTGGATCCGGTTCAACCGGTTCAACCGACCGGGCCGGACCGGGTCCAAAAACATTGCGTACAATACCTTAGGCACATTTACACATTTCACATCATTACGTCAATTCTTGGTGGACATTTGATAACCCTACCGTCCCTAGTACGTATGGTGCGTTTGTGGGTTTGTGAATAGAATTAATAGTTTAAATAGTTGTGTGTTATATGTAGGGGGATAATTAATCTCCTTTTGAGAGTTATTTTAAAGATAAAATTATGAGTTTTATTAGTAAAAATAAATAAACGATTCACAACAGAAAAAAAAATTAAATAATAAATCAACAATTATCTATAGTCTCAGTCATTAATAACAAACATAAATTATTAAATAAAATGTGTGAACTTCTCTCAATAAATGCAAGAGAGTGGTTTTTTATTTAATAAATTTAGAGTGGTTTTTTATTTAATAAATTTAAATTTGTAGTCAGGTACGTGTACAATCTAAAATGTAATGTTGATTCTTCGTAATATATAGGGAAATTCATAATCATTGTGAATATCTTAATTTGATTTTGTCCTTGCCCATGAAAAGTTAATGTGCTCCTATATATATTATATGTCAAAAAAGTTAAATTAATTCTATGCTGTTTATCATCAAAACACCAGACATGTCATTAATCGGCTCGCACCTGTTTGCAACCCAAACAACATTTTGAACTGGGATATTCTTTAACCAAATTCCCAAGTAACGTCTCTTGGCTGTACTTCCAGAACTGAAGAAGCCCAGTTCAAAGCTTCCATCACTAGAAACTAAGGTTCCACCATCACTAAGATTGGTGGATGAGGTGATGAAATTAGTTGAACATGAGAATCTAGAGAAGAAAAGCAGTAAGAGGATGATGATAATAAACATTAGATAATATAGGGGAAAAAAGCAGTAAGAGGATGATTATACATAATAAACATTAAAAGTTGAATGTCCGTATTTTTCAAGTTTTCACGAATAAAAATATAAAACCTTTCTAGCGCACTGCTGTATAAGAACAGGAGTCTTGAATGTTGACTAGAGGATGATATGAGTTTCACATGATAATTTTTTTTTTTTTTTTATCGATATTACATGGGGTGGGTTTGAACCTGCCCAAGGGAAAAGGGGAGTGCATCTTCAATGTGGTCGGAGACCACTTGACCTAAAGGGCCAGATGAGTTTCACATGAGAATTTAGAGAAGAAAAACAGTAAGAAAATGATAATAGTAAACTTTAAAAATCGAATGTCCATTCCTTTGCAAATTTCCACCAATAAAAATATAAAACCTTTTTGGCAGCTCTAGAAGAACACGAATTTTGAATGTTGACTTTAAAAATCGAATGCCCCCTTCTTTGCAAGTTTTCACGAATGACAAAATTATATAAGACTTTTATGGTGGCAGCTTCAGACGGTTACCAATCTTGAATGTTGACTACTGTACGCAGGCACTCCAGATTACAGCTCTCTCTTTCTAACAGTTCCCACTGCCCTGGAAAAATGCAGTTGTTAGGCCTTAATTTTTGAGGTAATGATAAGAGGATAAAAATTTGGAATGAAAATATA